TGCTTATGTTATGCTTATGTCGTAGTGCGAACGCGAGTGAAATAAGCATAATTATAAGCGTAAGGCAGCCATCTTGATTGTATAGTCGAGGAAAGCTGGTATCAAGAAATTTTGTTAAAACTGCGCCTGCATATGCTCTTATGCTTATGTTCTGGTGTTCTCACTTGCTTATGCTTATGCTTATGATTGTGCTTATGCGCTAGTGAGAACCAGCCTTGACACCTAAGCAGTTCTTTTCTTCTCAGCTTAATCTCCTTTTGTACACAGCATCGTTCTTGCTGTCTTTATAATTGCTGTTCAAAACTCTCCAAGACGTAAACAGTATAAAATTGGATTAATCGAAGAGTTCATAAAGACTACAGTAGCAAAAAAGTGCAATTCTGGCTTCAAAAAAATGTTTAAAGAGTTCCCAGAAAGAATCAAAAACATAAACATGGGCACATAACATAAAATCAGCACTACGTAGAAAACAAAAGTATTCATTGAACTTTTTTTCAGTCGAATTATGTTCAAGTTACCACTAACATATGAACTTTGTACCGCTTGTTGCTGAGCTTGGATCTGTGTTTGATGGCGTTTGACGATTTGAAAAATTCGGATGTAACAAAATGAGGATATCAACAGGCAGATAATTAAAACAACAGATGCAACGAGAAGATGCAGTTGAACACTCCAAAAGACAATACCGAAAGAAAGAAAAACCATAAGCCACGCTATTACCAATGCGTAGACAACCCGAGTTGTAGTCACCATAGTAACATATCTCATGTGGTAGTGAAGGGCCGCAAAGCTATCCAAGCTTACAGTTGTCATTGTGCAAAGGGAAACTCCACAGGTGCCAACCACGAAAATAAAGAAGCTATTTTTGAACGAATTTGCAGTGCTTTTTAATTTTGGAATTTTGTCATTTTGGCTTCTAAATTGACAAATTAAATGGGGCCGTTGAGAGGACGTATGGTTAATATATATATATATGTAAAAAACAACGTTGTCAAGCTTTATATGCGGGTTTAATGACGAGACAATTTTTACCTATAATCGAATTACTTGCAAAGAGTAGTGCAATTTTTACGAAGGGATTGCACATTGGCATCAAAGACTATTCCACTAACTCGAGTTAATTTAAGAAAATTCCAAATTAATAATGCATCATATATGAAATTAATGACAATTTTTCAAATTGAATAACTTACAAAAATTAGTGCAATTTTTACGGAGAACTTAAAAATTGGTGTAAAGTAATATTCTACTGACAAGAGTTAAATTAAGAGAATTTTAATCATGAATGTCTATCTTTTATTTAGACAAGCCCCTCTCGTGTTTGACTCTGTTTATGTAAGCTCGGGCGTATTAATTTGCACTGCAGTGCAATTAACGACAATTCGACCTGCTTTAAGCCAATCACAAGGCAGTAGGAAGTAATTTTCTCAGTCACATAATAAATACGTTTCTGGTTGATGCAATTTTTTTATGTTATCAAGCGAATGATTAAGAAAAAGAAAATGGTGTAATTTTTCACATAGACGCAGGCAAACCGTCTTCGTGGAAAAGTGCTGATTTTATACCAGTGGTCAATAAAATCGAGAAACAACAATACTAATTTTATTGATTCGATTTTAGGTTGAAATATTGACCTCTTGTTAGTAGCCTCAAATAGTAACAGCCTCTCCTTCAAACACTTAAAGCTTGACAACAGATGAATAACCTCATGCTCGCGCCATCACACTGTGAAGATGTTCATTTGAAGACATATGGCGCATATAAACCCAACGGTGTTTCATCAATTCTTACTCTTTAGTGAGGCGCCCACGTTGAACCTCTCACATCAGCTGCTACCACACCAATTCCGCCTTAACTCATTGTGGAAACTTCTAAACAAAACTGCCCATGAGGCAGGTTCCAGAAACAGATGATCATTCAAAGGTTTAAAATATAGCGCATGTTTTAATAAATCAGTTTTTTAATGCAAAACAGGCAATTTCTAGTTATTACTTTTGAAATAGCCTACTTTAATTACTTATGAAGTCACGAGCCCATATTGAGTTTGTGCGTACATTATTAATGCATGGAATAGATTATATTCGCGCAATTTGTTTGATCAATGCAAAGGAAACAGAGACATCCTAGGCCTTAAAGAGTTACGACACGGACGGAGGAAGGTGCATCTTGCCAAGATTGGCCTAAATTGTTCTCAATGTGCTTCTCGCGCTTCTCCAAACGATTCATTTGCGCAATTACTTCAATTTAGACTTTCCTTTGAATACCCAATATTATTACCAGTTGAAATGTCAAAGTCATTTTGAAGACACTCCAAAAGTCTCCCCATTNTCCAAACGATTCATTTGCGCAATTACTTCAATTTAGACTTTCCTTTGAATACCCAATATTATTACCAGTTTAAATGTCAAAGTCATTTTGAAGACACTCCAAAAGTCTCCCCATTGTTTTCGACTAAATTCAAAATTGCAGGTGGAAATTCTTACATCTAATCATTATCATTATATAAGCTATTGCTTTAGCATGCTTGTTATGAAAGCTTGCGGTTTTATATTTCAAAACTTCTTTAGCAGAAAACGATAACTGTTCGAAATAGTGGTTAACCTCCTAAAGTGAACACAATCCAACATACAAACTCGACTAATTTTATATCACTGACTCTAGCTAGAAACGCGTGGGAAAGTGGCAGCAATCATCGAAACAAGTGTTGTCGACTTAAAGGCGCGCAGAACAGCAAAATAGTTTGGTAAAATCATTCATGAAGCTAAACCAGTCAAACAGTACATTTCTACCTTGGAATAGATCGGTACCTAATCGAAATTTTGACAATGAAGAAACGGCAAATGCTGCTACAACCATCGTCATTATGAACTGTCTCTTGAATCTTCCACTGATGCCAATAGCGATTTTTGGAAACACAATGGTGTTAACCGCGGTTGTGAAAACGCCTTTGCTTCGTTCGCCATCCCTTATTCTGCTGTGTGGCCTTGCTGTTTCAGACCTAGTGGTGGGTTTGGTTGTCCAACCGATGTACATCGCCAGAGAGCTCAAAGCAAATGTTTTCCTGATCAAACTATCGAGAACGGTGGGATTTGCATTCTGTGGGATCTCTTTGGCAACAATGGCGGTGATAAGCGTGGATCGATTTTTGGCACTGCAGTATCACATGACTTATAACACGTTAGTTACTACAACGCGTGTTCAATTATTTTTGATGATAATTTGGTTTATTCATCTTCTACCGCTATCGACTGTTGTAGGCTTTTGGGATGTGCCAGCACTTTTTACTGCAGGTCGTATTTTAATTTGCGTTTATACCATAGCTTCCACTATATCTTACATTGGTATCTATCGAATTGTTCGTCGCCATCAATTGCAGATTCTCGCTCAAAAGCAGGCAGCCGCACTCTCAAATGCTGAAACTGCCAATAACATGGCGTTTGTGTCATTAAGCAAAACCGCTGTGAACACTTTCGTGTTCTACATCTGCACAATTTTTTGCTATCTTCCATGGTTTATTTACCGAATAGTTTATAGCGATGTATTTTTCACAAATCCTAACACAGCGTGGGTTTTTACAGCAACTTTGTTATTTTCGAATTCATCCATTAATCCCTTCTTGTACTGCTGGCGACTTCGTGAACTTCGAGCAGCAGTTAAGAAAACATTAAAGAAAATGTCATGTAGGCAAAGCAGCTGAGATAACTAAAGGCTGAACTATTAGCAAAGAGAATTGTTTATTTTTCACACGGTCGATGACTCATTGAAAACAATAACGCCTGTGTTTCTCTCTTAATGTTTTTAGCCTTTTCTGTCTTGTAAATAGTTTTGAATTAGACCTGTAAGAACAGAGGAAATTTCACCCGCAATAAAAAGTTACGAGCGTGTGTTTCAGTCTGAAACTGTGCGATAAAAGCTGATAAACAGTGCATCTGTTACCGGCATTTGTTCGACGTTTCTGTGACATTCATTTGAAAATCATGAAAGATGTCGAATAAAGCGACCTTAATTGAGGTCGAAAAAATAACCGTTCTCTGCTCAATGAAAACGGCCATTTGTTTTGACAGCCTGAACGTAACAGCAACCGAAAAATCCGGACTGGAGAGTTCTCGATTTTAAATATCAAAAGGGCGATAATTTACCGGTCAGGAGTCTTATTGAAACGTGAACACATTTACTCGCATATCTATCATAGTTATTCATGTAAAGCGCGTTGGCTTATGACTTCCATCTCGATGTTTTCACCTTCCTTCAATGAATTACAGTGGTAACATCCGCTTACAAACGAACAAGATTTAAATAAATTTCAATCTTACTGGGGTTTTTTTGCCGACCACTTACGTCCAATGTTTTCAAAATGACTGCTGTTGGACCAAAAATCCTTTCAAGAACTCGTATTCAAGGCATTTAACAATCGTAAACGAAGTGGTAACGTTACGTTGATCGCCAGCTGGTCAGATCGATTAACCGAAATTTATTTTTCCTCAAACTAAAGCTACTCATTTTTAGACGATGATGAAAACTGTGAATGAAGGCAGCAACGATAAAACAAAAGTACCGGATGAATTTATTTTTCGTAGTGTTTCGCTTGTTTGTTTTACTGCCGAGCTCGATGAGTAAATTGATTCACTATCATTGTACATGTAAGCTTACTATTAAAACTACGGCTGCATACGTGTATGCAAACGAACAATTGCGTCTGTGTTTTTACGTTTTAGTCCTTGATATTCACTTCTCAAAATTAAACTACAAATATTACTCAGTGAACATTGGTGAATATTCACCGAGACGAGACGAAATCACCTGGCCTTCGGCGAATAATTGTTAACATAACTTCAAATCGTAAAGGAATATTGAATATTCCAATTGCTTGAAAGGGAATGATGAATACTTATCAAGAAAAAAAAAATAAAAATGAACCTGAGAGCTGCTTCATTGAGATAATGGTTTTTAGTATATACACACTCAGTGATCTTGGTATTTCAAGCAATCTGATTGGTTTGCTATCTCTGGCTAATGAGCATTATTCACCTCCTACTGAGGGAATACAGTGGAACCTCGATTTATAACGAACTTACCTCTATTTAACGAGGTCCTCGATATAACGAACGATATTCTATGTCCCGGNTTGGCACTATAGTATTTCGACATCAATTAACTTCTGCTCTATCTGCTTTGAAATCCGGAAATGCTGGGTAGTGCAACATAACAACACTAAAGCCAGTTTCCTTGTTTACATAGGCAATTTTCTGTATAACCTCTATTTTGCAATATTTTTAAATCGCTACCCTGAAAGTGTCGTTCTCTTGTGAAAAAACGCTGCGCGTCTCCTCAGAAGTGAAAATAATTGATATTGAATTGAATTGCATCTCAAAACGCGGCTCTTCTGGGTGTCGAAAATTGCATTGAATTGCGTGACAGAAGTCACCTGTGTTACAAATCAATCATTAACTATGACCTCGATATAACGAACATTTTGGTCGTTTCCCCTCAAGTACACCCATTCCAGAAAAAACCGGAAGTTGTATGCAAGCGAGGCTTAATAGCCCTCGAGCTACCAATATGGCGGACGAAATATCGGAGGAATTAGGAAAAAATTGGAATGTATGTAAGTTTAGAGCTACCTGTTCGGAGCAATTGTCGAAGAAAAGGAAAAAAATTGGACACAAGTGCTGTGCAGCTGCAAACTGTAATAATCG